TTCTCCATTCTCCTATCTGGATTTAAGGCATGCATGCACACACACACCCTGGGAGTTTTAAGTTGCTAGATCTGGGACTTGAACCACAGTCAACTGTGTGGGAGTTGAGCAGCAGAAGCATTTTGTCATCTGCTGGTTCCCTGACTGCGTTTTTCAAGTTCTACGTAGGATCAGGAACTTGATTCCCTCATTCAGTCATTTAAGTAACCACCATATAACCAGCTTGTCCCCAACATTTCTTTCTTTATACAGAAGGTTTCACTGGGACATGATTTTCCTATCTAACCCTCTTGAGTAGCTGGGACCACAAGGGTTTACCACCATGCCCAGGTCTTCTATACAGGGTTTGCTATCTTGGCTATGCTGGCCCTGAGCTTGGAATCCTGTCTCAGCCTCCCATTTAGGATTACAGGACCTACCATTATGATTGGACTTTTGAGGGGGAGGGGTGGGAAAGCAAACCTGAGCTTCCCATGAGCTCTCAGCCTGCCAAGCAGTCCTGTCCAGAGCACACCATTGCAGGAAGTTCCAATAACATCTTTCTAAATTACTGCTGTTATTGCCGCTTTCCTGACAGTCATTCTAGCTCCATGGAACCTGGGAATAACACACATTTTTCAAAATTCATCCTCCTTAGACTCTCACAAGGGGCGGACCTTCAGTCCATCCTCTTTGGGATGTTCCTCTCCATGTACCTGATTACTCTGACTGGCAACCTATTTATCATCCTGGCCACCATCACCGACTCCCACCTACACACGCCGATGTACTTCTTCCTCTCCAACCTGTCTTTCTGTGACATCTGTTTCACCTCCACCACTGTCCCAATGATGCTGCTGAACATTCGTGTGCAGAACAAAACCATCACCTATGATGGCTGCCTTGCCCAAATACATTTCTTCATCCTTTTTGGAGAGTTGGACATCTTCCTCCTGTCTGTGATGGCCTATGACCAGTTTGTGGCCATCCGTCGCCCCCTATATTACACGGTCATCATGAACCCCCGACTCTGTGGTGTGGTGCTGCTGACATTCTGGATTTTGAGTGTCCTGGACTCCCTGTTTCACGTTTTGCTGATATTACGGTTGTCCTTCTGCTCCAACGTGGAGATCCCCCACTTCTTCTGTGAAATCAACCAGGTCATCCTCCTGGCCTGTTCAGACATCCTGTTCAATGTCATTGAGACATATCTCACCACTGGGCTGATGGGTATTATTTCCTTTTCTGGGATCCTTTACTCCTACTCCTGGATCATCTCCTCCATACTGAGGATTACATCCACCAGAGGGAAATATAAGGCATTTTCCACCTGTGGGGCTCACCTCTCCATTGTGTTCTTGTTTTATGGCACAGGTCTTGGGGTGTACCTGAGTTCAGCTGCTACCCACAATTCCAAGGCCAGTGCAACTGCTTCAATGATGTACACCATGGTCACCCCCATGCTGAACCCATTTATCTACAGCCTGAGGAACAAGGACATCAAGAGGGCCCTGAGACGTCTTTTCAGCACTGCCCCTTCCAATGAGTGACAGGAATATTTGCCTTGGAGTTTGACAAGTGCCTAAAAGCTAGGAACAAAAGTGGCATCCAGGCAGGTGGTAGTGCAGGAGCAATGTAAGTGCACCCAGAAGTAAAGGTCCCCAGGTCAATCCCAAGGGCTGTTTGTACATACTGGGTGTTCATGTGCCATGATCCAGGCTGGGTGAGGCTGGGAGTGGATTGTAGTGTGAAGATCCTTTTGGGTGCTAGGCACTCTCTTGCTCTCTGACTGGTGGAAGAAATAAGTAAACAAGCTTTAAAAAGCAGAGACCGGCAGGTGGCATGGTGGTTAAGGTGCTGTACACTCCCACA